CCATGTATCGTGAGATTTTGTGTGAAAACCTCCTTCCATCAGCAGGGGCATTGAAGATGAAATGTGGCTGGGTCTTTCAGCATGACAATGATCCCAAACACACCGCCCGGGCAACGAAGGAGTGGCTTCGTAAGAAGTATTTCAAGGTCCTGGAGTGGCCTAGCCAGTCTCCAGATCTCAACCCCATAGAAAATCTTTGGAGGGAGTTGAAAATCCGTGTTGCCCAGCGACAGCCCCAAAACATTACTGCTCTAGAGGAGATCTGCATGGAGGAATGGGCCAAAATACCAGCAACAGTGTGTGAAAACCTTGTGAAGACTTACAGAAAACGTTTGACCTCTGTCATTGCCAACAAAGGGTATATAACAAAGTATTGAGATGAAATTTTGTTATTGACCAAATACTTATTTTCCACCATAATTTGCAAATAAATTCTTTAAAAATCCTACAATGTGATTTTCTGGATTTTTTTTCTCATTTTGTCTCTCATAGTTGAGGTATACCTATGATGAAAATTACAGGCCTCTCTCATCTTTTTAAGTGGGAGAACTTGCACAATTGGTGGCTGACTAAATACTTTTTTCCCCCACTGTATATATTGTCTTTGTGTGTGACGGGTGTCTATTAGCATATTCATGTAATTTATCCACAGCATTCGTTTGATTATTGGCCATAAAGAGTACTTGAGGACAGTAGCTCTGAATTTCTCTCGTCCTTATGTCTCAGTAATAGTGTTTATTAATCACACATCTAATTATCCAATAGAAGAGCCTCCTTTATTGCTGCTATAATTAAAACTATCAATCACCGTTTTGGAAAGTCCTGCGAGCGGGAGAGTGTGTGTTATTCTCAGTTTTACTGATAAAAGCTGAAATGTGTTCGACCGGTAAAGCTTTTGACCGTTACAAGGACACTCTTTTTATCAACTTTTTAATAGGATAAATCAAACAAACATATATTATTTAAAACTTGTATGTTTTTCAATGGAACATAAAAGAAATTTAGCCAGATGTCTGTACCGCTCTTTTCCATTCAGTGACCAGAAAGGACAGAACAGCACTATAAAAATATCATAAAGAAGTCCTCTGAAGCAATATAATAGTTTAATGTGAAGAACAGACTGAAGTTTATATGCGCATGGTTTCTAATTTTTCATGGAACTGTTATATAAGCACTATCATGCTGCATTAGTCACATCACTGTAAGGTTTTTTTAGGGAATACGGATATGTGTATGTTGTATATTTAATGCTGTCAGCACCACTGCCGTAGATAAAAGATACCAAAAATATAGGTGATTTTCACTTGTTTACTTCTGTATTTGTGCTCATGTGTAATGTTCTTCTTCGACCTCTTATGTGTCTCTTTCTTCATCTTACTCTAATCTTTATGATTTTTTAATATCGGTCCTTAACATCTCCATAATGCTGTTTAATGGAGCGCTTCTCTTCATTGGCCTCTAATGTGCGGCTGGTGCTCGCTAGGTTTACTGTAGCAGGATGTAATTAAAAGGCTTATCACTTCCTCTGGCTCTGTTTAACGACCGTTTCAGAAGTGTGGAAGGGTGCCGTGACCCTGCTCTCCAGTCGAGCCTGAGGGGCCCAACTATCAGAGGAATGGTAATCCAGTTTTCCTCTGCGCAGAAATTTGGCTGTTCATTTAATTGTGTGTGTGGCTGTACAGAAGTCCTGCACTGCCTGAAGGCAGGAATTAGTTTTGTCGGAGTTTGAGGATGGCTATTAGTTTGGCTAATTTGCGTGCGACCCTGCAGAAATGCCTCGTTTTACCTCGGAGATCGTGTTTGCAATTGCTCTTTAGTGTCCGTTTTATATGTGCATCCTATCAATCTTTCACTGCCCTCCTTCTCACCTTTTCTTGATCTCTTTGTTTTTCATTTTGCTCTCACTGATCTCCTGCTCACACACAAACATACACACTCTCAGATGGAGCACGAGCTAGCATAAGCAACGATATACCATCAGATAATGATGGACTGTGATGGAGAAAATGGAGAAAAAAAGCCTGATTAAAAGAATGAAATTCATGAAAAAAACTAATTTAGTCAGGCAAAATTTCCATCCATCTTCCCATCCATTTCTGTATTTTTATTTATCTGATTCTCTATCTAGTCCATTCATCCATCTGTGTATCTTTTTATTTCTCTCTGTTAATTGGTCGACTGTTGTTTTCCCGACCATTTCTTGTTTCTGCTGATTTCTATAATTAAGCTCTGTTTATGGCTGATTGACAGGTTGTGATGTGATGTGTTTTCAGGCTCTGAGGGCGGAGCTTAAGGAGCGTGAGCATTTAGTTCTCAGCACATTGGATCAGGCACATATGTTTCTGGCCGACCAGCCGATCGAAGGACCCGAAGAGCCACGCAAGAACCTGCAACCCAAAACCGGTGAGAGACCATCATTTCTTCATCCTGATATCCTCCCATGCATTTAATGAAAATAAAAGTAGACCGAAAAGGGATAAAGTGCATACGTCTTGTCAACAGTGTTGAGAAAAGTTACTTTTAAAAGTAAAGCACCACAATATTGCGTTGCTCCCTAAAAAGCAACTAATTATTTTAATTGTATTTTTATTTATTTTTTTCGAAAGTAATGCATTATATTTAAGGATGCACCGATACCACTTTTTCCAGTACTCGCCCGATACCGATACTTTAATTTTTTGTACTTGCCGATACGGAGTACCGATACCGATATTTTTATTGCATTTGTAAATTTTTTAAATATTGGGTACAGAAACCAAAAGAGTATGTATAATGTTAGTTGGTTAACTTCATTTATCAAATAGATAGTCAACCCAAAATTTATTCAGACACCTTCAACATTTCTCACATTATCACAGTTTATTCGCTATAGTTTAGAAAATGGTAATAAAATATGATAAGAACTCCGTTAAACTGTCTCAGAACAAATTCAGCTTGATAATGTCAGATAACTTTGATAGAAAGGTATGTAATGAATTACAATCGACCAAAAATTATTCAGACAGCTGTAGTGTCTGGACCACTCAAACACACAATATATATTTTGT